GCTGAACCTTGTTACATGAGAGAAACACAGCTCTTATGTGTAGCATTACAAGACCCCATGGGAGTTAAATAAGCCCAATATAGAAAAAGACTACTCTTTCCAAAGCTTACAACAAGTATTACTTCAGACTAGAGGCTTTGGTTGATGAAGAATCTGGAGAAACTGACAGTATTTAGGCTTTCAGCAAAGAAACCAAGCTCTGTGAAATTGTGGATAATGCCAAGTTTTCCTCTCAGTTATGTCTTCATTCTTTCATTTTAATTTTTTTTTTAAATTGCCTTTTTTGTTAGCAGGCATATTTCTAATTATTGCATCTCAACTTTCTTTTGGGGCACTCTGGTCTTGAATTCATGTATTTTCTGTGAAACTATCATTTTGTGGTGGTCTCACAGCAGAATTGTTATTATTATTCCCATTCCCCAAGGATACATCTGGAGTGAACAAAATGGCTGAACTGGCTAGTGTGCTAGAAATGGAAAATCCTTGGATGCATTCAGAAGGCTTCTGTGAGTTTCTGCACCTACAACCAAGACAGCACTTCCATGAGCACTTTCACCAAAAGTTCATATCTAATGAACAGTATACAAGGACTAAATATCAAGGGATGAAGTTTAAATGCACATCGTGACTAAATGTGTCTGACTAGATGTACCACTTCCAGTGCAAGAGATGAGACCAAAAAGAAAGCACAATGAGAAAAGCATGCAGAAACTCTTCATCTGGCTTATTTGTATCCCTTACCTGATTTACAGTGGCTCCAACTGAGCCCTGCAAAACCATCTGGAGCATTTTGGCATCTGGTGGTTCTTGGTTGGTGGCTGCAGTTAGTTCCTGTGTTTTTTTCTGCATATCTTCAATAGCAACTTCAATTGGGGTTAAAATAAACTAATGGAAATGGAAGAAAAGATGCTTCATTACCTGAAACATGCATGCAGTTGACCTATTCTAAATCTGGCAATACCACTATCATTCTCCCGTGCCAAAAGCAGTAGTTGTGAAACCCAGGAAGACTGTTCAATCTAAATGTCACCTTGGTAGATGCTGCATCTGATGCAAAGCTCTTTTGACATCATTTGCAAGAATAGGACGTGGATCTGACTCCCTGTTTGCATAAATTCATTATTATTCTAAATTACTGACTTCATGTCTGAAACGGTTTTCCACTTTCTACCTTTATAAAGCTTCCCTGTCTCTAAACCAGCTCTGAGCCCAATTTAGTTCTTTGACTGTACTTTATCAGCTAGAAGTACAGCCATAAGCAGAGCTCCACACATCCTCCTACACAGCATTACAACTGGGAGGTCAAAAGAAGAATATATGCTCACTATCCTCTCTTCTCCATAGTAAATACCCATCTTGCATTTGTCTACCCATTCTGTGCCATTCCTATTTATAAGAGTAACATGTCTGAGAAATTCAGCTTTCTTTTTTATTTTTTTTGCCAAACATAGAATTTGAAAATCTTCCCACCCAGAGAGTCCACAAGCCCCTGAGAAATTCGATCTGTCCTCAAAACCCAATTACCTCTTCTTTTTGGATGACATTGATTCTAGTTTTGATGTATGGGAAAGCATGCATTGTGGTTAGGATGGTGTTCCTCTTGTATTGCTCACTAAGCTCTCCTCTGGGGCGGCCATCCATGGTGAAAGGTGTAGTGTACATGAACCGACAGAGATTGAAGTTCTTCTCAAAATAGGTTACCCTGTCTTTCATCTCATACTCATCAAAATATGGCTCCACAAAAGTAATTTGTATGTATGCCTGAGAAAAAAGGGAAGAAGCATTACAGTACTTTCCCCAAGAAAAGGAACAGCATATATATATCTCCCATAGTTCACATTGGCTAAAAATGGTCTGGAAGAGCACAGGAGCTACAGGCTCCTCCTCTTCCTCAGAGCTAACAAAACTTGCCTCTGGGGAGGGCACAGCTTAACCCTGGGGATCAGAGCCACAGCAGGGACCAGAGATCAGAACTTCTAATTTCCACACTCTGTGACAATCTACCAAACTAAGCCTTTCACAGAGGCTTTAAGGACATCCCTCGGCACAGAGATACAGCCAAGTTGGGGTTTTTTTCGGTGCCTTAATGTTTGAGCATAAAAGTTTCAAGGGGATCCCCCTCTCTTCCTTTCTCTTCTGTGACAGAACACCCAACACTCTCAGTAGTACCTCCCCTACCTTATTGGGATCCAGCTTTCTTCTGTCTACAGGAGCAGAGTCCTTAATCACTTCCACAGCATCCTCCCCAAAACACTGGCCATAAAATCCCTGGAAAGGAAACAGAATTATCCGGGAGTGTTGTTAGTCCTTAATATAATGCTAATGATCTGTATGCCTCTAGGAGAAAGGAGTAATCATGACAATTTCTGGGCTCTGTATAGTCAGTATACTGCTTCATGAACCACAGTTGGCCAGGGTAAGGCATCTTCTGACAAAGATCAGTGTGAGTTGCTCACAGAAAAGCAGAACTCGAGGTAAAGTGATCAGAAGGGAACATTGCAGTTCCATGCAAAAGCTGAAAAGATACCAAAGCAAATATCTGGCATGCTCAAATCAAATCAATCAATATATTACAGGCCTGCCCATAAGAGACATGGCCTCAAGAGAATGGATCACTTTCATCCTTATGCTGTAAAAAGGGCTACAATGGAAAGGATATACACAAAGGAAATAATCTATGGTACAAATCAGTTTGTAACAGATTTTTATATACCTATAATATTATTAGAACTATATGGGTTCATTAGAAAGTATAACATAATGTTGGAGATCATATTAACACAATGTGTTTTCCTTTACCTCTAATCTGTGAGAAATCTCAGGAAGTTTGGTAATTGCAGGCTCCTTATAAACAAATTCCTGTTCATCCAAGTCCCCAAATTTGGATCCATAGAAACCAACACGGAAGTAAGTTCCAAACATTCGCTTTTGACCCTAGTTGATAAAAAGAAAGATGAAATTTACAATTACTTATTTTTTTATGTCAACATCGTAGTATTTGGATGCCTTCTTTGCCCAATAAGAAAACCCACTAATCCTACATTTTCCTTATTTCAGAGCCAGTTCTATGTATCATCAGTGCTGATGGATTAGAAGCACATATTCATGAAGGAAAGCATGCAAATTAAAGGGACATTTGACTGAAATCTAACTTAAAATTTAGGCTAATCATGAAGTGACTTTTGCAAAAAAAACCCCACAAAAACCTGTTATTTTTAAATTCCATTGTATTAACAAATTAAACAAAATTAAAATTTTGCTATGAAAATTGATAAAAATTTGAAACTGACTAGACTCAGCAACAAGATTCTTCTGGAGAAAGAGAAGGAAAGGGGCAGTATAAGTGCTGAGAATTTAGCCAGGGTTTTGTATTTCTTCTGTTTTATAACTGAAAACACTAGTTAATCGACAATAAAGTTATTTTTCTTAAATAAATGTGGCCAGGTGGAATCATACATGTTTTTATTCTGTTTGACCTGTTCAGCTATTTTTCTGTAACTCTAAACCAGTTTTACGTTCATCTCTGCTTTTTCCTATAGAGAGGATAGAGCCTCTTTTCACTGTAGACTACCCTTTCTAGGTAGGCCAAAGCAGATGGAAGTTTTTGTTAGAAAGAGGAAATGGATCTATTCCACATGAACAGTTTTATTATCATCAGTCTTAAACAAACAGTGCAACCCAACAATGTGTCTTGCTAGCAGTGCCTTGTCTCACGAGTACCTTATTAATAATGCTGTCAAAGGCCTTCTGTAGCTTGCTGTGTGTCAAGGTAAGCTTCCTGAAGTCTCGATGTGCTTCCAGTATGGGGATGACAATCTTGTATACCTCGTTCACAGTTTCATACAATCCCCCCTTGGGAGGGGGAAAAAAAAAAAAGGTAAAAAATAGAAGAAAAGAATGAGTCCTCACGCACTCTGAAAAGAAACTAGATGTCCATTAATGGCCTGGCTGAAAAGGGGATTTATGGGACTCATCTTTTAATCTGCTATTTTTTAACCTTTTATTTTTAATTTTTAATCTGCTATTTAATCTGCTTGTTTTAGCTTTCTAAAAACTAGTAATAGTAAATGGGTAGTTCTGAGTGGCAAACAACAAACCGGATCTAATTTGGATCTCTGACCTGTTGGGCTCTCAAGCGCAAATTCTGGTCTAAAGCACATGGTTTCTACTTAGGGTCTAGAAGAGTTAGAACTGCAGGTGAGTAGAAGGAAATGGATTTGTTTAGCATGTATGGTTCAGGGCAACCAGACCTGCATCTGGACAAAAGGAACCGAAATGATATCTTCAGAGATGCGAAATCATATATCCTCTTTAGCACTACAGCAATATGATGAGCTACTTGAGTACTAACATCATGACTCCTTACATGGTAAATGTAGATTATGAGGCTGGTGGTTGTATGCCTCTTGTTGTTTGCAGTGGGACAGATCTGTGGAGCCTGGTTTAGCAGTAAGACTTTATTTCCTCATGTGCAGGAAAATAAGCTATGGATCTGGCCCAGATAGCCCAACTCCATCTCCTAGTGATTTTGTGCTCACTCACCGTGCTGAAGAGCTCTGCTGCTTTTTCCAGTAGCCCTACCAGACCACTTTCTGAGAAATACCTTCCAGAACATATCCCGTCTTCATCTGGAGACAAAACATCATCTGAAACTGCAGATTCCTCCAGCACATTGGACGAAATGTTCTAAAATACATCAGAGCAGAGAAATCAGAAACGTAGATCAATAGCCTATCATAAAGATCGAGGCAGAAACAGTTTCAACATATTTACACGATGGAAAGAAGAATGAGATTATACAAGTGCAGCCAGGGGATATACAGTTAAATTCCATTTAGAAGCGAATGTAGCATCATAAATCTCTACAGATGGCAGACAAGGAGTTTCGCTACACGAATCCTAAACTTTCTTTCTCGCCTCAGGTTTAAAAGGCAGACTCCTGTAGGTCGCAAACTGGCTTCCTTCTGGTGGCTGGATTTCCACGAAGGTGCAATAAGCTCAATCTCCCATGCCGCAGGGGTCACAACCAATGTGCCCTTCCCGCTGCTGGTACCTGGGGGTGGGAAATTCCAAGCTGCACCCCGGACCTCCTGCCACCTGCTTGAAGAAGTTGAACTTTCAAGTTGTTGATTTGACTTTTGCAAGCAGAGGAGAAGTAGGATATAGACAATATTGCTCTAAAAACTACAATAATTGAATGCTGCTTCTTGTTTCAGCCTCTGCTGTATTACACCTTGATCCTGCAGAATTCACTCGGTTTCTTGTTGAAGTTACTGATCTTATTTAAATTGATCTTTATTTAAATAAAACCAGATAAAGTACACCGTGTCAGTCACTCTTTGAGATTCTAGACCATGAAATAACATGTCTACAGTTCTTCAGGATCCCTTTGAATAAATGGGTAGAATCAACATTAAAAATTTTATAATACATAGAAATATATGTAAATGTATTAAAGTATGTGTACATACAGTATGGAACTAGCATATGTAACTCTCAACAGCAGCAGAAATGCTAAGCTTCGATTTGCTACTAATTAAAAGGAGTTAAATTAGTGTCATAGTGTCTCACTTCAGCAGAAACTGGCAATGACAATCTGTCTGAGTGCAGGATAAATGCCAGCTGGCTAGCTAGCTGAGTCCTTAAAGACATCTTTATAAAATGGCAGAGACACTGAGCGCTGTTACTATTGATCAGATTTCAGATAAAAAATTGGCACCCACGCATCACTAGCAACACGGGACTTTCCCCCTTGGGTTTTGTGGATGTACTTCTTTCTTCATGGGTAAAATTTGCCCCAACCATGCTGCCATCACAGTGCCTAGTCTGCACATCACGTCAGCTCCACTGGAAGGGTGAGCACAAAGCTCAGGACAGGATTCGCAGGAGTTAAGAATATGTCTGAATTTCAGCCAGAGGGAAAACTGCAGCACGTTTTAGCACACCCATGCCACTTTTTACCTACCAGTCTCTTTGAAGATAGTGACTTCAACCAGGGTTAGCCTCCCTGGCACATACGTAGGGCAACTCATACAAACCATGCTGCAGTTCAATTTCTGGTTTTCCCTTTCTGTAACAGCAGCCATTAAGGACTGTTTTCACAGAATGGCATGTGGCCTTCGTGGCTTTTGGGTTTTTTTGTAGCAAAGGGAAAAAAGTCCAGAGGAATGACTTATTTAAGAAAATAACCAAGAAAGTCACAGACCCCAATTATCTCTTCTTTGCCTTTAAACCTGTAATAACTAATGTCAGGCATATATTTCCATGTTTTACAGTCCATGCGCTCTAGCAGGAGAGTATATCTGGTGCTTGCATGATCTTTTGCAAAGTGGACATGCCTCACCCACCTTCTGCCTTGATCTACTTTTCATACTGAAGAGTTTTATATGTCCCTTATCTAATAAAGCCAATACACAAGTTACCATGTATATCATTGGCAATTACTTCACAAGCCTAGTTTTCTTTAAGGAAAAGAAACACTTGTGTAAACTCAAGGGGCTTTACTGTGATCCCCAGCTCTTATCACCATGTTAGATATGGCTAGGGTAGCCTGCAACCTAGATGCGCAAAACAGCACAGTCGAATTAGGCTACTGCTGAGTCCAGGCTAATTAGCCCTGTGCCTCAACAGATAGACACACGCAGTTAAGTCTTTGTCTGTGGTAATATAAAATGGCTTTAAAGTCAGTCCATATGCAATTCATGCTCTCTCTAAGTCCGTCTTATCGCTTGCAAAGGGGATTTAGTGTAAATTTGAATTAAGCTCAAAGGGAATTTCACTGAAAGTGATCCCGTTCTGATTTCGAGGGATAGTTTTGATAGCACAGAGGGAAGCATACACAGTTTTGTCTGGCACAGCATAAGGAAAAGTGTTACTCTACTGACAATCAGTTTTCTGGACGCTAACAGAGTCACTGCAGAGGACCTAGGTCAGCTGATTTAATCCTTTGCTGCTTCATTTACGCATCTCTAAAAAGGAGATAACACTTCTGCTCATCCAGAATAATCTTTTTTTATACACATTATTACCACCCTCAGTTACACAACTAAATGTGTATCACCAATATTAGTTAATTTCATATCTGAAATGAAGAAATGGACACAGAAAGAGTCAGTGAGTGAGATCTGGAATTCCAGGTAAAGCCAAGACAGTCTGAGTAGTGTTTCTCTCTTTTAACAAGGTCATCTGAACATGATCTTCACAGGTGCTAAAAAACACAAACCTGTTTGTAAAGAATAAGAGCTCTTCTCTTGAAAGGCTTTGTAAAAATGTGAAGTGTTATTACAGTTAATTATTGTTATTGAGCAAACTGACACACAAAATTGTGCTGTCAGATAAAGAGTTGTGCAATTGGGTTTCTGATCATTAAGGCATTTCATTACCTCTCTCCTATGGAGCAACTGTTCCTTTGGCAAACATGTATTTACACAAGCATTTTGATGAAAGATTGATTTGTTGCTTTTAAACTTCTAAGTTTTTGCTTGCCTAGTGCCTTGTAGAATAGACTTCAGTTCTCTAAAATAACTGGAAACACACCCATATTCATGGAAATCTGCATAATCTGGGAGCAATGGAAGGAGGAATTGCATTAGGGTCAAGTGTGTGAGATTACAAGCATTCAAGGCAGCCTGGGAGCAGGGTGATATTGGGAAGGGAATGCAGATTTCACCTGTATCTAAATGATGATAGTATGTAACAAGTACGGAGAAAAAAGGAAAATAGAAGTAATAAATGGAAGTTAGAAGTTAGGAAGTATACAAAACTGATAAGGAACGCAAAATGGCAGAAGTATAAATCCATGGCCAGAAGTTTAGCCAGTAAAAAGAGCATATACAGCTATCTTAAGAGTAAAGGAATTTAAGAATAACATTAGTCCATCACGTGATTGCTAAGGTGGAATTGCAAATACTAATGCCCAACATACTAAACTCAATGCAAAATGCCAAGTAGTTCAATCACGTTCACGTTTACTATTCTGAAGGGGAAAAAAAACCCAGATAGTATGGTTATATCAAGGGATGATGAATGTACCAACTACTAATGTTAGCCATTTCAAAATGACCTGGACCATAAAATGTGCTCCTCAACATTTTAAAAAAGCTAAGCCAAAGGGTATTCAGGCAGTGAATACTGAGTTGCCATATGTTTTAGAAAACTGGAGAAGTTCCGGAAGAGGAAATATGCTTTGGGGACCACATTTTTTTAAAAGTAAACAAGATGAGCAGATAGTGGTAGGTTTATCAGTCTGCATCCAGGACAAAGTGGTGGAAATACTGATACAAAATTTTACTTAAGAAAAAATTAAAGGTGTTGTAACTAATCTGAATCAACACCAGACTATAGAAACCTGATACTTCTAAAGAGATTATAATCTCAGAAAGGCAATAATGCCTAAACAATAGATGTCTATACAACATCTGAGTTGATTCTGCAAAACATTTCCACTAATTAGTTGGAATGATTCATAATTGTTGCAGTAACACTCTGTAAATGAACAATGGTCTTCATCGGTCTTAGAGAATAATGATAAAGGAGGAATCATCAACAGCTGGGAATATTTTAAGGGTTCAGCCATTTCTATTTTTAATAATGTGTGGAAAAAAGCAGCAAAATCACTGAATTTGTACATGAAGTCAGTTCAGGTAAAGGTAACCAAAACTGTGTAATCTGATAGACTATGTACAAATATCTGCATTTCAAAATGTCTAATTCTAACAACAGAGAGTTATGCTTTCATCTGTGTGATGCAGAAAAGAAGGGTGAAAAACAAAACCCAAGAAAACTATCTGGAAAAGATCAATGTATTACTGAGTAAAGAGATCAACAACGCCAAAGAACCAGTGGAGTCTTCGGAGAGATAAACTGAGAGATACTTCCCAGGCTTAAAGAACTTACGGGACATTTTTACTTGACTTTGTTGTGACTGTGTATAGACTTTGGTGATCGTGTCATTCATCAATCCAAAGGGTGTTGGTTAGTAACTGAAGGACAGTTAAAGGATCGGAGAACATGCCTAAAAGAACTGAGTAGCTCCCATTACCTACATTATGAGAAAGAAGCTTGAAAGATGCATCTGTCACAGTTGGTAAGTAGCAGCCCTAAGAAAAGGCATGGGATAATAGAGGGGTTCTACTTAGCAAACAAGAGATTACAGTATCCAACTGCTGGAAATAGAAGCTAGAGACAGCCAGATACTAAAATACCAGTTTTCATCAGTAAGCATAAATCATTGGAACGACCTACCAAGAGTGGTGAGAGTGGTGATGGATACTCTGCCATTGTAACTTTTCCTCCCCATACGTGCACTTCTACTCTGCTTAACACAAGAAGGAATACACACACCAGAATAGGCCATCCCGGTCTTATGCTGTCAGAGCTTGGGAGCCTTTTCTTACCTGAAAGCTGACACTGCCCACTGGGAGATAGTTTCGATCTTCAAGCATGCTGAGGTACTCTGCCACCAGCGCTGCAGCATGGACCAGACACATGGCTGCTTCTGTGTAGCACTTCCTCTTGGTGTGCTTCTCTGACATGTTCTGCAGCCAAGTCAGCCTCAAGTCGGGCGATGTCTGGTATCCTTTGGCAATTCTAACAGGGCAGAAGGGAGGTGTGAACGATCACTTCTTCTCAAATAACAGAAAGAACCTTTATAATTCTTCACCTGGGCTGAATGGAAGGAGACATCTCTGTCTTTATTTTGTATAATTCACTAAGCACAGGGCAAAAGAAATGGTTAGGCAGAGGTAAGCAGGACACACAGGGGCTATGAGGAGAGTAAAACGCCTGAACCCAAGACTCTTCAGTGTTCATTAGTCCCTGACTCCCATCCTTGCCAGAGTCTATGTCCACCTCCCAGTGGCTCCACTGCAACATGCTCAGTCCCGCAGCTTGGACCCCGTGTGACAGATCAGCTGTGCAAAAGCGGGAATGTACACAAACAGAATAGGTAGAGGATTTGTCCACAGCTTGTCCCTAAAGCGCACAGTTCTTGTGCTCACCTCACTGCAGAATTTCCACAGTAGCAATTCTAAACGGATTCACCTGTACATGAGATCCATGAGCATCTCCGGATCTTCCTGATACTCCCTCATTTTCACTGTATCTGACAGGATGCTGTTCAGATTACATAGCAGCTCCTCTACCTGCAGTAACACAAAGATCAACATGCACTTCTCAGGTGTTTATTTTTTCCCCTCTAGAAAAATAACAGCATCTGCACCAGATGATGTTACTCTCTTTTAGTCCTTCTTACCCAAGGAAAAGTCAGGATGCTGAATTGCTACAAGATATACTTTTCCAACTCTATTCAACGCAGCAAAGATTGCTGACATAGCAAATCTTATACACCCATTTTAATTAATTAAAATGAGCTGGAATCCTTTGATCTGTTTATTTCTGAATGAAAAAAAATCAAACCTATGTGCCAATGTTCAGCTTTAGTTGATCTGTGATCTGATAACAAAAGCAGATGTTTTTGTAAGTCTTCAGCACAAGCTGAGTTACTGTAAGAATTTTAGCAAAGCATCTGACAATTGTCTAAATGTTTTTCATTATTGCTGCTGCTGCCTTATGAACTGAAAAAAGGAGAGAAGTTTCCATGACGCTACTTGTCTGAAAACATAATGAATCAAATTCCATCTTGGGCAACTCTTACAGGGTACAGTTCCTGCTGGAAGGAAGGAAGTTGTACACAAAGCTAAGAGATGATTCTCCTGTAATGTGATTTCAGTGGAACTTCTTAAGAGTTTATTCTATGGAATTATGTCCTCCACTTCTTCTCCGCTTACTGTTGTGTTAGAAATAAACTCATGCAATAATCCCTGCATCCTTATTTTCATTGCTTTGAAAGACCAAGATCTAGGACTTGCTCCAAGCACATTCCTATGGGAAAGCTCCTTATAAAAGCCACAGATGTCATGAAAGATTTGACCTGAATGGGAAATGGAGTTGCTTGCATATCCGCATCTTCCTCTGCATAGGCTAGGATGGTTCGTAAAGATCGTCGAAGGAATTCCTCATTAAACTCGGGTGATTTGCCAACCAGAGAGGCTAGTGACATGGTCACTTGCATCTTCACTCTTGCAAAATTCTTTCAGAAAAAAAACCAAAAACATGAGAGAATGATTGCTGCACTGCACCATGCATATCAGTTCACATATCTCTGTCTACTATATAAACCAAACCCACTTTCTCCTGCCCAGACTGAGTGCGTTAAACTCACTGCTCACACGAGTGGCCTCTGGTGCATCAAAGCCAGTCCTGTTTTACCTGATTAAGCCAAAGTTCCCTAATTCTGACACGTCTGTACTTTGGGGCAAGAATGTACCTTGGAATACATATGCTTGCTTGAGACTAGGGGAAGTCAGAAGCACCTCTTTGCCCTTCTGCACAGGCCAGTGGGTGTTTAGATCAGGCCATCCACAGAGGAGAAGAGGAAGCAGGACTGAGAAAACATTATGGAAACAAGTCTGGGTAGCAAAAGGCCTCTGAGGGCTTCATGTGGTGATGCACTACGCCTTGCTGATCATGGTGTCTCAGAGGCACATTTTCCTTCTGCAAAGCCAACACTTTTTACATATTCAAGGCTTTTAAAGTAACAACTAGGGAAGAAAATGCTGTGCCAGATCAGATGCTATCCAAAATGCTAATGCATGTCCTTTCGTGCTAGGACATTGTGAATCTACATGCATTAACGCATGTATTTTGCTCCATGTGTGTAGTAAGAATCAGAGCCTAGTCCTGAGACCAAGGGGCCAGTGAAGAATTCCCATTAATACAAGCAAACAGTAGTTCTACTGAGGTTGTAATTGCATTAGAATAGAACTAGTCCAAGTTTAAGTAGTTCTGACACAGGAGTGGAAAAAAAAAACCGTGACAAAATGAAGAGTATTGCTCATGCATTGTATAGTCCTTGCTATCAGAGGCCTAATGCTGTTGCATTTGAAGATGCATTTACAAATGTTGCAGAAAAAGTCACATTTTCCTGAACAAAATAATGAACAATAATTAAAACTACTTTCCCCCTACTGCCACTTCTTCTGGCTCAAATGTGCAAAACAGCATAACATATGACTATTTATCTGCAGATGCATTCCATTTGCTATCACAACTTCAGTTTCAGTTTCAATTGATCACAAAAAAAGGTGGCACAAAACATATTGCTGTTCTCAAAATCTTACACTGGTAGAGCTGAAGCTGTATCTCATGAGGAGATAAAGAGTGGCACAGGCTTGAGCCCGTGTGATATCTATGCTGCTGCTGCAGTGATGGAGAACTCTTTGACACAGATCAGCACACTGTTCGACCTCCTCTTCAAACAGGAAATCTCCAAACTAAGGGAGAGAGAGAAGAAAACATTCATTAATCTCATTTCTGGCCATTAAAATATCATTAGCTTAGTGCACAAAAATCACAGGATTCAGACAAAAACTAAAGTTTGCAAAAACTACATTTTATACTTCTTTTTTTAATTTGGACTTCTGATTCCTGTGATGCTATAGGTTGCATCTTCAAGCTTTTCTATAGAGAAGAAGGGTTTGAAAATAGTCTTTGTGATTAGAAAAAGAGCAGCAGAAAGAGAGAGAATAAATAAGTTTCTCAAGTCCCGTGGCTCCAGGAGTTTTGAAAACATCAAATATTGCAAAATTCTTAGAAGCATGGAGAGTTGCTGTTTTCAGAATATATAATTGTGATGAAACATGAAAATACTTCCTTAAGCATAAGGAGCGATTACTAGCTTTTTGCATCAACGCCCTACCCTTCCCCAGCCCTCAAACACGTTCTTCCTCCTACAGTGCGCCACAAAACTTCCACTGCCCAGCTTTCACGCCAGACCCTCCATTACAGTGTCTTCACAATGCACCTAGCAGACAATAAACCCAGGGGGCAGGATGTCTGTCTTAAGAAACTCTCACCATAGACAGCACAGATGCACCAGTACTGTATGTACATACATAGGACTGATAAAGGTGTGTGAGCAGAACACAGGATATTATTTCTCATTTGCAGGCCCATTTCCCAGTTTTCAACCTTTCTTCACTCCATTATCTCACGGTTTTATGTCTAATTTATATTGCAAGCCTGCTGGCACAGGGTTCTATCATTTTTATTTGTAAAATAACATCTATATATTTACAGTGTAATAGAAATAATTGGAATGATTGCTTCATAAAATACAGAACTGAGTCAGCTTAACTAGACGATCTATTTCAATGAGAATAATGATTGCTTCACAAAATTCATTATTGTAATTGGAACTTAGCTTTCAAAGATAAAGTACAATGAAAACATAATTATGAGTTTCATAACTACTCAGATATCTACCCTGTAATTAGGCTTTGTCAGCCAATCTGCATTTAACAGCAGACAGGCATTAATTGGACAGGACTATCCTGTTTGTTATTTGCATTTTAGAATACTTTAGGGGAAAAAAACATTTCATGGACTTTTCCTTTGTGGAACTGTTTTTCTTTGTAGGAGAATAAATCTTAAACAGATTTTAGAGAGTCCTCATGAAGCACCCAACCCATTATGACCCATATTATAAAAATGTTGGGTCAAATTCTGTCTTCATATACATTTTGAAATTTTTTTTTTATTGGTGATACAGAAATAAAAGAGAGATTAGGATTTGGCTTAGTTTTCAGGCGGAATGAACATGAAATCTGTCAACATCTTAGAATCTATTTAGAATTTTGGAACCTATCTTGGAAGTAGGAACCTAGAATGATCCCCCTGATCTCTAATGAGTTAGCTTTGATTTCTCTGCTGCCCAACTGGTTGGAAACTAGTCCTGATGATATAATAATTTAAATTTGACTTTATGGAATCTGTGCAATCCTGGCATTCATATTCCTAATTAAAATCAGCATGTATTTGAAATATAATGGGTGGAATTTTTTACCTTTTTATTAGTAAATCTTCTATCTTTAAGAGTAGACTGCTAAAACCACAAGATTATTCAGATCCAGTTATTCCATCTTGTGTGGTCAATGAAATAACCTCACAACAGCTGTGGAAGTCCCTTAAGATCCCTGTAGATAGGCATTTGTATTTACATATGCAAAACATATTTAGCGAATGCCAAAGGAAAAGTGGTAAGTGAATGCACACAGCTCTGCTCCAGAAATGCTGCTGTAGTAACTTGGTTGGAAGCATGAAAACAGAAGTATGTCAAGAGCATACCTTAGCAATGAGCGCTCTGAGTGTAGCAAAGCAATGAGTCAGGTAAGTGGTGCTCTGATCACAGCCAAGAGAATTTACCAGGACCTTCAAAACTCCTCCCAAAAGATTGTCTCTGCACTCTGCCGCAAAGCTTGCCTACACATGGAGTAGAAAAACAACAATAACTGCATGAGGTAATTCAGCAATGACCTGGCACATAGGAACTGAAGTTCTGCTCTCCTGTTCATGAGACACATCCAGGACTTTAGAGATTGCAGTTTTTTTGTTTGTTAACACCTGTTTCAGAGGAATTTCAAAACACTTTTGTAGTGATCAGGAAGACAGAGGAGAAATGTCCCAAATATTTCTCAATATCTGCAGACCCTCCAATGCATTTTTAAGCTCAGCCAGCTTCTGCAGTGACTCTTGAAGCTCTGTCCACCTTCTGTCCAATCTTTCATGTACCTTGGATCAGGAAGTGATCCTGTGGTGGGCAAGCACCATCCTTCCCCTTGCCTCCTCATGCTCCGATCTCCTGGGCATATAGGCTAAATACACGTACTGGTATGCTCTGATCAAACCCACAACCCAAATAGTGGGGAGATTATGTGCTATGAATGGTGTCATGCAAAAATAATGCCCAGTAGTACAAGCGTCTAGTAGCTAAATGATTTTCTACTGACAGGTTTTCAAGAACAAAGTTTTCTCCTCTCTATCTATGAATATGCAAGTTGCTCCAACAGTAGTATTCCCTTACCCATGAATTTGAAGTGTCTCTCCTAAACCAGGAGACCGTGTTTAAGCAGACTCAACTATCATGGTTCCACTGCTGTCAAAGGACCTGTGAAATTTTACTGCATCTGACTCCTAGAAGTTAGGTAAGTTCTGCACATTACATTGCTCTAGGAGGGCACATCTCTTTTCAGAAGGACTCCATGCAGGCGGAAGATACTTTCCTGCACTGAGCACTCTGTGGGAGTCAAGGTTAAATCCTTTTGTCTCACAGGGTCATACATGCAAGTACGACCAAAGGCCACCCAGCAGTCCAGTTCCAAATTACTAATATCTTCAGATACATTCCTAGCATAAATGAAGATTTTTCTTCCCTCATCCTCTTCAAACTCCCAGATCATAGTAAGACAGTGGAAATGGTTTTCAACAACATCTACTGAAAACAAGGTGGTACATTTCCGTTTCATTCACAGTAGTGCAATGCCCTACAGTAGAAGGGGCTTGTGGCAACAGCGTAAGGCAGACAGCAATTTCATCTTTGGATTCATTCTTCTTCATCTTTTTCCCTTCAAGATTACACAAGTTTACAGAAGATCTTTAATTAAAACATTTTGCACTATCTAAGAAACAAAAGGAGAGATGAATCTTGCTTCCACTGGCTTCCGAGGGAGCAGGGATTGGTACCAAGCCAGCTCTGCCATTTCCCACCTGGATGATGTTCTCTTGCATATCAAGAATGATCAGGTTAGCTTCAGTTGCCAGGTTTCCACTGATCAGAGCTTCTTGATCTAGGTCAGCTTTTGTCCTGCAAAAAGGAGTTCTAATTAAAGCATGCAGAGAGTACCCCAAGAGTTAGACGGCCTGCTGTTTAAACAAAGCCAAAATACAAACGATTACCATTCTGAACAATCCCTTAAGAGCAAACAATGAAAATAGCATTCAGAGGTGTTTCTTAAGAACTATGAAGTCAAATAAGGAGAACTGATATCGTAGAGCAGAAGTCCCAGAGGAGACACCTGAAAACTAGGCCTCTGGATAGTTCAGATAGATTCTTCTGGTTCTTTAATAGCAATCTGTTTAATGGCTACTCCGCCCTCAATATCATGTTCAGTTGTTCAATAAGCTATGCAGTAATTTCTGAATGTGTTGCCTGTAGCAGGACACCAAAACCCAAAATGGAATAAAAGGCAACTGATCTAACACTTCCAGAAAAAAAGTAAAAATACCAGGCTTGGCCAAAGGGGAAATTTCTTCAATGCCATAGCAGCCATGTTTTATGTAGGCAATTTAAAATGGTGATTCTTGAGACTGTTGATAACATAAGACAGCAGATCCAACAGCTGCGGGGTCAATACAGCAGTGCCCCACGTCATTTAAGAGAGGACTGAAATATTTATAAAAGACAGAAGGTGGTGGTAAGGCAATGCATGATACCTCTTAGTGAGACTTAAGGACGCGGTCTGGAACACAGCTCCTCTGCAGCTGAATGCCCTGAGCATAGGTGCAGCTCCTAACAAAAGCGTATTTTCACAGATCCCTTCTATGCCAGAAACACAAAGAGGAGGCTTTATTCTTTTTCCTAAACTGCTTAGAAAAGGGCTGTTGCATGTCCAGAAGCTGCTGTCTAGAGCTTGAGATTAGAGCTGCTCTGACTTGGGCCGAAGTTCCTAAGGTGCATTTCTGTGGCTGGAGCAACACCCTTACGATCACACTTCTGAGTGACTTCAAAATCTGTGGCTTTTCTGCTATGTTCACTTTTCCTCCCAGTGGAGCGTTACCCAAAAAGAAAACCAGAAAAGTAAAGAGCCATCTTTTTGGGCACAACCAGGTAATTCTGGGGAGGGCTAGGAAAGGAAGTCAGGGCAGTTGAATGGTTATTAATTACAATGACTCAAAGCAATGAAGAACAGAAGGGCCTGCCAAGAGGCTGGTGCTATAATCAAGCCAGGGATTGCTAAATATGAGTAAGGACTGAACAAATTAAGCAAACAGCATAGCTGTTTGAACCATTTCCAGCAACCACTCAGCCTTGCACATTAACCATGCTGACTGGATCCTCTCTGACACAATACTTAGCTTATAAGTGCAACTACAATCTCAAAGCATGCTGGACTCAAGCAGAAGCAGGCTGAGCAAGGCTGAGTGGTGACCTGTGCAAACCTGCTGTGCTACGTACTACCTGCAAACACCTTACTTATGGGATATATACACTAAAGGGATCCATAAAGGATGAGAGGAAAGATCTTGCATACCACAGTGATGAACCCTGCGTAAACCAGAAATGTCTGGACAGCATGCAGAATTTTACTTATGTAACCAGAAGTTTTATTTTAAGTGGTTTAACTGGACTATTGTAAAGAGATACTGTAGAGCTGCTGCTTGAGGACTGTTTTATTCTGATTTCAATGAAACTGGCTGGGAGAAAGCAAGCTACTTTCAGGGCAAAATAAGAATATCCACACAGGATCTGTACCTCTTCCCAACTAGCACAGAAGGTGGAAGGATTTTTTTTAAAGTTTGGAGGAATTCCAAATTAACAATCTTGTGTTCAAAAATGTATGTGATACTCATGGATGAGTGCTAGGCTATAACAACGTAGTTGCTGCATAGCACAAGCCAGTGTTTTCAGTCCAAACTCACGTATGTTGAAAGGTATCATGGGAGCTCACAGCAGCTGGACTTGTGAGAGGCCACAGTCCCTATCTGCCACACAGTGGCCCATTTAGATAGTAAAAATTCAAGCAAGTATCTGTGGACAAATGACACATCTCCTTTAGGGAAAAGCAACAAGTTCCATGCTTACAGAAATTTAGCACATACCATATGCAAATGCTGTTAGTTACACAAATCATTCCCAAAAATACAGTTTTCCATAAACCTAGACACTGACTTGTCTATTACCATATAGTGCTGATAAGATGAAACGTACTGAGACATCATAACTTAAAACTTGCAACAAGAAAAATATCGCTACGGAATCATCTTCCTCTACTCCTGCTAATAACTCTTCACAATTTTAACATAGCACATCAAACCCAGCTCGACTGATTTAATGTGGCAAAACTTATACCACAGTACTATATACAGTGAGGAGCTGTAGCAACACCAAAATAAATGTCACAGGAAGCCTCTGTGGAGTATTTGATACAATTTGTATCAATAACTAGTGTTTACCACACTGCTAATCAGAAGGAAAAAATGCGTAGATAACTATTTAAACTCCTCATTCAAGTATTTGTGATTTCTTTGTTGTGTCATAGCAACAGTTGGATACTTCTGCTACAAAAACATTTTCTATTTCTTTCTCTTTGAAAGAAGAGGGAAAGGATTGAAACTGCTGATTTTGTAATAAAACATCCTAGGAGAAAGAACAAAAACATAAAAAACCCAAACAGCTTGGTTCTAATAAAAGCAATATATATTTATTAAGTGACTTACTTATCTTGTCTCTCATTTGCCTGCCGCCAGTGAGTCTGCTCCTTTCTCCAGCGCAGGTTTTCATTTAGCCCCGCTGATCTGTCATTCCCTAAAAGTGCAACATATATCAGTGAGATTAAAGCAAAAGGGGACACCTGAAGTCTGATAGCTCACCAAAAGAAGGAGATACATGTCTGTAGCAGTTTGTCAGAACTAAAACCATTCAACTTCACAGCCTCAGGGCTCTAGTAAAAGGACAGGACCTCATCATATTTTTCATCTAGGATTTTTAGAACATTAGCTTGCTTACAGATGTCTTCAAAGACCAAACCACAGATTATTCCATTTATTAAATGAAACAACTTTTTTTTGCTATGAACAATTTGTTCTTACTGATAATTTTGACACCATTTCTTGGCTTTTGGTTAGACACTAACACAATTTCTCAGAATGTCTTAAAACTTCTTAGCTCGCCTTATATTCTTCACCTGAGAAGAGCTCAGTCCTAGCTACACCTTGAATAGTTGAAAGATAACGATATTTTTATCCCAAGAAAGGGAAAGGACTGTGGGTGAAAAATATAAGGATGAAAATAGGGAGTGTGCATAAAACCCAACAAACTCATTTACATCTACCACCTCTTGAGATCCTCTCAAAAGACATGGTGGGGAGAGGGGTATGAAGTACCAGCTGGTATTCTGCAGCGCTTCATCATTTCTCCTCTGGCTCCTTCACCTCGCAGTAAAGCCTCTTCTAACCGGGCCTTAACATCTCGTGACTTCTGGAGTGCTTGGGTGCTAACTTTATCTGAGCTTTGTTTGCCCTGAAAGTAAAGTCAAAGCAATCAACACCAATGCCTCCATCTTTGGACATGAGTCCAAATTACATCTCCAGAACCAGACACAACAGGAGAGACCTGTGGAGGGGGCAGAAAGCAATGAATATGATTGACCAACACATAAAGGCTAATTAAATCTTGCAGATGAGGAAAGAGGTAGTATGTGTACCACTAATAAACACAAATATGTAGCTCAGTGCTACAGAGAGAGAAATGAAAGTTCAGAGAGAAGGTTATTTGAACTATTTCAGACAGACCCTGTCAGAGAGGGGCGTCCTGATGTCTAGTCCCAGCTCTTAACTAAAGGGTCATCTACCACAACCTTGCTTTGAAATGGGTAGAGTATAAGGAGAACAGCTCCAATACTTACATGAGCTGTTGATATATTGCCCACCAAAAATAGCCCCCTGATCCCCAGGAAAAGGAAAATAATAAAACAATTTAAGCCAACTTCACAGGACTTCCTCAAAGGTTTTGGCTGCATTTTGCTTGAAGACTAGTGTCAGTTATTTTGTCTGAATTATTTTGTCCATTTGTAGCATATATTAGACAAGAGCTAATTTAACAATTGCCAATAACAAATTTCTCCCGCACAACCGGAAGGTGAGGAAAAAAAAATGAAACCAAAACAGGGCAACAAAATCAGGCCATGTTTCACTTACCTTGTACTCAAAGCATGAGACACAAATGAAGAGGAGATCTAAAATCCTGTTCAACTGCATGGATGGAAGGTCTGCAACCCATTTCTGTATTAGATTCTGATCAGCATTTTTCATGATCCAGAGGAAACAGATCAAAATGTTGCGCGTAGTATCAGGACCTAATGGGGCACTCTGTCTGTAGGGCTAGGAGCAGATAAAGTAAATGTCAGTTGAAAAAAGAAAAAGAAGAGGGAGGTCATTCAGGTGAAGTAATCTTATTTAAATTTCAGTGAAATCAAATCTCAGTACTGGACTTCAGGAAGTTTGACCTCTTCCATGTTATCATGATTGTATTTTTTGAGTGTATGTCTGTGTAATTAGTGACAGGACCAGTTGTATGCATGTGAAAGACAGAAAGAAGCACAAGAGCATTGTTTGCTAGATGCTTGCATTTTAATTTCCTTAGAATAATGTAAACAAAGATTCTGTAACTGTTTGGTCCCCTCTTTCCATACAGTTGTGTCAGCCAAACTGTATAGAAGATAAAAACCACCATGAAGAAAGAGAGAGAGAGAGAAAAAGAAGGATCTTGAGTCCTAAATCCATGGATTCAGGTGAGACTGGGACTGGGAGGCAGTGTGGGAGTCATAGTGGCATCTGCTGATCTGGAAATGAGTCTAGGTTGGATGTGGAAATGGAAATAAGCATGTGGGAGAAAAAGTGGAACTACTTAGGTTAAAGGAGTAATTAAATGACTAGAGGAGAAGAGGAGGAGATGACAGGAGGAATATGAGGCTTTGGGGCTAGAGGAAACAAGGATGCAGTTTCTCATGATTGTAGTTATTAGTCCCAAGAAAAGATAAAAGGAGAAAACAAAGAAAGAGGAAAACAGATACAGGAAAGGAGACTGGCAGAGCACAGGACATACCAGGGACACCAGAGACATTCCAGAGCTCCTGAGGTTGAACTGATTCCCTGCAATGGCAAGGGCCACATTTTGATTGATTGCACTTGCAGACTCTTGTTCTTCTTCTGGGTTTCCTGTGCGTCCCTTTCCGCTGCGGGCATCTGAAACTAGATTTGAGATATCCCATTGGAACTTCAGGAGCAATCCAGTTGTTGCTGCTCTCATGTCACAGTCTTCCATTGGGCTGTAACCTAACAAAACAATTGGCACCTCCATCCCTGAGACTGTTGGTCTGGCTGATGTACCAAGCACTGAAAGAGGTGCAGCATTAGCAAGACAGATTGCAGCCATCTGCAAAGGCTGTCAAATTGTTCAAATAAACACAGGGAAAGGATATGTGGCCAATAAGCTCCAAGTGTTCAGAGGAGTTAAATTAAAAGCAAAGGCAGTAGCAAATGTGAGGTTGTCTCTGAAGTTCAAAGCTAAGCCAGCACTTCATAAGACTTGGAACCATCCAGTTCCAGTCCATTTCAGGCAAGAGGATCAATGCAAAAGCCATAGATGGGTTTGGTGATACTCAACAAAGTATGTAAGTCTGCTAACAGCTGACTGAGCCAGTATTGCCTGCTGGCTAAAGAACAAGTTTAATTTCAGGCATCTAGCTGCTTCTATTCCCTGCTAGTTCTTGACATCACTTTCAGCAAATAAAGTTATTTATACCTAAGTTTTTTAAAAAATCTCCTCTGATTCTGAGTGTCTATTTTGTGTTTTGCAAGTCCTGTTTTTCAGAGAAGCTGAGTGACCAGCCAGTCCCAGTGTGTTCAAAACAAGGTCAACAGCCTCTTGTGACAGATACTCAAAAAGAAAGACACATTAAAACTTAGCCATACTGGTACACCTGGGCTTCCTCATAATGTCTCCTTTTCATCTGTGGTATAAGGATAATACTTAGATTAGAAGAATGGGATGAGATCTGATTAGCCAATGCATAATAAATGCTTTCATCCTATTAGACTGAAAGTGCTAAATAATACCTAATAATAATAGTATTGTTTTTTGTCCAGACATCTAAATGCAAAATATTTTCAGAACCAGTGACAAAAGTATATTCTTCAAAGATTATACCTTTTTTTCTTTAAAGCCTTTACTTTATTTATGGAAGTGAAATGTAGTTTTCCATGTAGCAGAGATCTACTATCTTACAAAAAAATGTGAAATAGCTCCTTTCAGCAGTATCATATGAACACAGATGTAGCAAAATGCAAGGACACAGTTTAGATAATGTTGTCTAAAAAGGTTTGATAATGTAGAGCAAAGTTTATTGTTATAACAGATGATAAAAGTATATTTCCTGTGCGATGATTACATTTGCCCAAGATTAATTTTGATATCATGTTAATAGCACTAAAGAGCAATAGAAAAAGACAGAAAGAATACAATCCAATATCTTTAATTGTGATGTAACACAATGTCAGTAACACTCTTGTTTTCTTCCCTACTGTCTGTTAAACTTATCTATGTTTCAGTATTTTTTGCAGATCTTGCAGGCTTTATTTGCAGGATCATAATATTTACACTAAGAGATAGGCAGGAGTACTTACAGATACATCTCTGGTCTATCATTTGCTCATGAAGTGAGGACATTGAAGTTTTTCCTGTCTTTAAAAATCCAGTTTACTTCTAAGTAAAGAAATATTCAACCTTACTAGACTGCGGGGAATTTCTGCACTTAGCACGATCTCTTTTATGTTTGATAGATTGTTTAGACAAGTCACCCTAAGAAGCTGAAAAATACAAAGGGAAAAAGGTCTTACTTGTAAAATCATGGAGTTGTGGCAGTGAATCCAAAATGATACCAACCAAAGGGAGGTAGAGAGCTGCAATTTTAATCTTCACCTCTTTTTTGGAGCAACGTGGGTCTAGGTCATGGGAACTCAGCAGGCTAAGGATAGCACTGACAGCTTTTCTTTGCACCTTGCTAATCCTGTTAACACAAAAACCATCCACGAGCTCCATTAATGGGTCATGCACAAGTTATTTCTAAATCAAAGATTTAAGAAACAAAGTGGAGATGAAAGAAACAAATTAATACATCAATATTAATTAGATATTCTCTTCCATTCTGAGCAGAGACTCATGTTCCCTGCAAACGATAGCTATCTTACATCTCCAAGCCACTTCATCACAATCAAAGAGCACCCAAATCTTTCAAACTTCCCATAAAAATTCAATATGGTGAAGAAAGGTGCTTAAAGAAAAGCACCAGACTTTGGCCAAAGTTTAGCTTAAGCTCAGACAAAGGCAGAGGTCTTTTAGAGAGAAGAGCAACTGAAATTTTAAGTTGTGTTCTCAAGCCATGTATTTAGCCAACACTACTGCAACAAATAGTGTATTTTTATTTACTGGGACCAACATACTGCAGCTAAAACAATGACTGGGTGACTGGGTTACTGCTATGTTACAGAGTGACTCACTGAAAAGAGTGGGGAAAATAGGACTGCCCTGGAATCAAACTATGAGCTTACCAAGAGTAATAATGTGACTCGATCCCATTCTAAAATCTGCAAATTGGGATACGCACCCCTCGCTGTCTGCGTCCAGCGCTGCTGCCAATTCAGTGAAAAGTAAGCCGGTCAGAAAGTGCTGCTGACGGTATTCAGCTGAGAGGTCAAACATACCAGCGATTTTCTGGTCCTGGAAACTAGAGCAGGAGCTAGAGTTCTGCAGAAGTATATTCGCAGTGTTAAAGAATGACCACTGAAATCAAAGCTTCTTAAAGAGGTTACAGTCACAGTCCATGTAGCTAACGGAAAATATCTACCATAGGAAAAGTGCAGACTTTGAAAGAAAGTTGGACGTTTTGGAGGAAAACATCTGAGTGTGAAATAAAATCTGGTTTCAAATGCTAGGATGCAATCTCATCCTTTCCACTGTGTGCGAGCAACTCATATGACATTTTTTGAGGTGTAAAATTCCTACCCTGTATTCATTAGTTTGGACAGGACACAAAGTCAGAATTTTCTCCATGTTTACAACTCTTTACATTGGTCTTACTGTTGCAGAGCAGATATCGGGCATCGTACAGCAAAAGGCCGCTCCTGCATTAAGAGGGACCTTGGTGTCAGAAGCTCTGCAGTGTGCCTTCTTCAGCATCCATGATGTCTAGCAGGGAAGTAAGGTCAGGAAAGATGTGCAAACACAGATTTCCTTTCACCCTGGAAATCCTTGGCTGACATAATTTAGAGCAGCCTTCAAACTGCTGTAACTTATGGCTACGACTGATATACAGCCAGCCCAGGAATGGAAAGTTGCTACTATATATGCATTGTGAACTTCTTAGCTTCTCCAATCATAGGTTTGTGCCACAGGTCACCTGGAATGTTTTTGTCCCCTGATGGGGTGAGCATAAGTCTTAGACTCTACTCCCCAGTGCAGCTACTGGGGTTTATGAGTCCAATTTTGCTTTTAATTTATATTCTTCATTATTCTCTCCCGGTATTTCTGTCAGTCACCCGGGAATAGTCCCAGAAAACAAATACATGAAGTAGCAGTATACCACATTGTGGCAGCTGTCTTCCAGCATAGTGGGTCAAATGAAACTCATGTCCCTGAGCAGCCCCATATTTTGGATCCACGTACTTAAGCCCACTCCCATTTCAACCTCAAGCAGACAGGCATTGGCTGTACTATGTTTGTGTGGAATAACATTAAAGTGTAGAGCACCCAGTTAAGTGAATTTGGCTTCTCTCCAAGAGTTCCAAAAGATTTATTTACAAGCCCACATTTCTTACTGAAAATCTAACTCTAGCTGGGCAGCACTCTGGCAGACAGATCAAAATTACTGCAAGGGTGGCCAGCTAATATATTAAATCATCCAAGGGCCACAAAAGCCTTATTGATTTGCGCAGGTTGCATTTCATACGTTACTCCTAAAGAAGAAAAAGAGTTGATGATGTTGCTTGAAGAAAAAATTATTAAACTGGTGTCTGCCCAGCTCTGACTTGCTAGAACTAGTTGCAGGAGCTATGCTGACTTCTTTTTTTCCCCATAAGCAGAAGAGTCCCATTTCTAGTTCTTTGGCATCCAGGACTAGCATTAAGCAAAACTATTGGGAAATCCTGACCCTAACACCTTCTTGCTTTGCTTTTAAGACCAGGAAAAACTTCAAGAAAATATTATTTACTATTATTGACCTGCCAGAAGCCTTAAGGTATGAGATATAGGACATCTTAGCATCCAACCAATTCTTTGGCAATGACACTTGAAAAAGAAACCGTGAATTTGAACTGCTCTGTTACTCAGAGTGTTTTTGTACCTTCCACCATTCTTAGCTTCAGTTCCATTCCCCTGAGTCCAAGGGCCATGGCAATTATGGGGCGTTGCACTGAAACGCTTCATCCCAGTCCTAACCTCTGCAAAACCATTGAGGTGGAAAACAGGCAGACTAGCACCCTTTGTTAGGGGGTCTGCCCCATGGTAAAAGCAAGATACCACTGGGGTGTGGAGGAACCCAGAACAAAGAATGCTGCTATTTAAAAAGGAATCGGCTCTGAACAACACTAAGGCTCAACAGAAATCCATGATTCCAGGATATTGAAAATGGCAGTGTTTTAGTCACTAACTTACATAGTGGTAGCATCTACATCCACTTGGAGAAGAGGTTCAGCTAGAAGGCAAACGCATAGAAAGCACTGCTGCATGCCCTAATTCTCCAAAACAGATATTGAAATACGTATTTGTGGTTCTGTATGTATGGGATAGGCGCGCCTGTAAATTAGCCTTCAGAGCCATCTTCCTTTTAGACCTTGTATGTCTACCTTAACAGTCATTTTCTGTTTGCATGTTTCTAGAGGGGCACATATCTGTGTCATGTTAAGTTTTAACTTGTGTAGATCCAGTTTTGCAGTAGTAGTCCCTTAGTCTTTATTCTTCTGCCCCTTTTCTTTCAAGAGGGAAGTTGTTCCCCCTGATCCAACAGTGGCTAATTCTAACCTAAGTATCTGTATATGGAGCAACATAAGTCTTTCTATACATGTGTGCTTCATGCGACGTTCATACAATATCATCTAATGGATGTCTACCTGGGAGGATAAGGAGGGGGAGGGGGATGCTGGAGCAGATGTGGAGGTCATGAAGAAGAGGTTCAGATTGAGGTAATGCTCATGGCTGCAGAGAATTCTCAGGAATTCCAGTCTCATGGAAATCAGGGTGGAGAGTGAATTCAGCTTGTTTGAGAGCTAGAAAAGCAAAAAAAGTGTCATGTGATGGGCGTGCACTATTTAAATTACCATGCAGTGAAATATCCTGCTTCCTGAAACAGAAATAGACAAATAGTCCAGCATGCATTAAAGTGCTCAGTGTTTCCCTGTACCTAACTAGTTTCCATCCATTAGCTGCAATTTGTTTGGCAGTGATGGTGTCTCTCTCCCCCTCCCCGGCTAACTTACCAACTTCCCAAGAGACAATCGTTTTTTTTTTCCTCCCAAAAGAAAAACATAAAATATTTTTTCCCTTTTGCGTAACACAAAGATTAAAACCGAACAAAAGCCTGCTGAGTCTGCTGCAAACACATAAAAACTCCTGCTAGGCAACACACAGCATCAGTAGTCTTGCCATTTCCCTTCATATGAACAATGACAAAAGTGGAGTATTGCACATACTATAGGAAACTGGGGTGATAGCCACCTTGCGTTCTCCTACCTACCATTAGCTGACAGAGGGCCTTCCTTTGGCAGGAAAACTATAGCAGGTATATCAGGTCACAAAACAGTAGGAAAATTTTCCCTTGAAATACAACAAATAATTTCATAACAACATCCTGCATCATCATTTATTTTTAATTTTGGGAGGCTTGTAAAGCAAGAAGACAGAGATGGATCATTTTGATTGAACCCCCCCAAATCTAAATACTGTCCATCACAGCAGTGCACTGGAAGAGTCAGAGACCAAAAGCTGCTCTGTATGGTCTGCAGACCCTGCTGTTAAGGGATGTAAAAAAGTAAGGCAAGAAAAGTGGCTCCATGGATGCTCTGCAGCAGTGCAAGGTATGACATTTCTAACAGTCTTAACCTCCACCCAATTTTCTCCTGCAGACCACAAATCAAAAGAGGTTTAAAGTCTCTGCGTATGCAATAGGAAATAGGAAATCTACCTGGCCCCTTAACACAACTCAAAGGATCTTGATGGATAAATGAATCAAACAGAACAGAACACCGTACTGGCCATAAGCCAAATGCAATCCCAAACATGCATGGTGCCTACCTGATTACAGTAATGTTTGATGAGATTAAACACAAATCCTCGGTCCATTAAAGAAAGAAGATCATACAAGAAAAACGCCAGGCTGATATTAATTTTTTCTGCTTGCTCGCTTTCCTTTAAAAAAAGAAGAAAAAAAACCCAAACAATTGCAGTAATGATGTATAAAACTTATATAAAGCTGAAAGACTTTTTAGAATCATTACAAAAGTAGTGTAGGGGACAGCTCCCAGAACCATTTCATGGAACATACTGCACAAGATTGTTTCAGTTCTCCAATTTACGTGATCTTGTTAAAATTATACAGAATCACTCCTGTAAATTATTTCAACTGTTGTAGCTTTCACAGAGGAATATCACAGGATGAATGAACAAGTTTATCTATGCAAACCTTTGGGCTGACAACAACAAAATGGAATTTGAGACCTGTTCTGAGTTCCCTATGGGCTATAAACCTGCATATGCCTTTTTCTTTTTTTTTTAATTGAATCTTTAACATTACAGAATGCTGGTTTAAGTACTTAAAATATAAAATATTGTTTTAAAATATTAATAAAAATCTGCACTGGCTCTGCTGATGGAATGCCAAGTATTCTGTTTAGAAATTTTAAGTGTAAAACTGACAGTTAGAAACACTGGTAAGATAAATCTGTGGGTTTTACCACTTAGCAGCTAAGCTCTTGCATGCTTAGAATTGCCCTGATTACCAGAGATACGCAACCCCCAAGTAAAAATCACAAAGAACTTCACATGCTCTCTCAAATAAGGCTACAGTTACTTCAAACATACCAATTTAAATCATAAAATCTCAGTGGCATATCTTGTTCACCAAGAGGAATTTGTGGAGGTGCCTGGGGGATCTGCACACATTTAATGCTCAGAGCCCTCAGGTGGGTTCACTCAAGACTGACAGAGGAGATGACCGAGAAAAATGTTGCCCTACTCGTATCTCTGACTAGTGAGAACAGGTGTGCAGCACCTCAGGGTGGTTATGATTTAATTTTTCATTTTTCAACCTTTTTGTTGCTGTTCAGGGACATTAAAAAAAAATATATATACACACACATATATATAGATTTCCTATGATCTGGAATTTACACAGCAAAACATTTTTCTGCTACGTTACTGGGTAGGCTAAAATATGCCAGATGTATCACTGTAGAATCCCAGGGCAATCTGACATGCTCATCCATCTATTGAAACATAGATTATTACTGCTTGAATTTAAAAAGCAGACACACATTACCTGCTGCTGCTCTGTATAACTATCCAATGGCCCTAATTCTGCAAACACTGCAGTGGGATTTTCACACATAATCAGGTTCTGTACAGTCACTCTATCAAAATCGAATTGAATTAACAGCCCATAAAAACCTTGTGAGGAAGCCATAAAATACTAATCTCTTGGCAAAACCTACAGTTCCGTTAAAACATTTTTAATGTAACAAATTTTTATTACACAACATATTTTTAAAAAAAAGTCACTGACGCCTTAAGTAAACGTTTCTGTGGAAATGATTTCTCTGCACATGGCTATCACAGAAGCACCAAAGGATCGAGCAAAGGGTAAAGCTTCAGAACAGCTTCTTGGTGGACAGTGACAATCACTTCTGACATTCTTTGCCCTCCGTTTTCTGGTCTTGGCCCTTTCCCAGTTTCTGCGCCTCAACAGAACAGTGGGGCACACACGGAGAAGTGGACCAGGAAACTGAGCTGGTTGAAAAGTGACCAGCCTGGTCTGCCCTGTGGCAGAGCACACTGCTGGGCTAGCACAGTGCATTTGGCAGCTCTGGGGCATGAAAACAAGTCCGTTGCAACAACTGAACAAACAATAGTCACCCAGTGCCTATCTGTGGCCTCAATTTTGTCTACTGGCCAGTGCGGAGAGACATCAGTGATGTAAGCTGACAGCTAAATATATATTACATTTTGTGATCCTTTCAACTTTATGATCTGTTATATCAGTGCAACTTGTTAAAATATATCAGGAGAAAGAATTTCATGGGATTTAGATCTTATTTCTTGTCTTTAATTTTCATGTGGTCAGTGCCTCTTTAAAGAGATCTGGAGTTAGATCACTTGTGGCTGGATTTTGCAACCCTCAGGAGGAATACTGCTGTCATATTGCATAGCCCACTGCTGTCAGAGAAGTCAAATGTGGAACAGAACACTATGCAGCAGAAATGAGGGTAACAGGAAAGGGGGATAAAAGGAATAAGCCCTGCTTGGGCTGCAGTTTGATGCCCTGGCTAACCTGGCATAAAGCAGCATTGCTACTGAAAATGGGTGTCTAACCTCTCCTGTTGATGGGAAAGGGGATCCCCTCCCTGCACCTGCAGCCACACCGAGAAGCAGGCTAGGGAGCCAAGCTGGATAAAAACAAACTGTCTACCAGGGGAGCGCAAGCCTGCCCCTTGCACAGCCACAACTCTCGCTTAAGGTCCATGTGAGAATACTGCCTCAGTTTTGGCCTAATTCTAGCGACACTGCGGAAGGTGAAATGGGATTAAATACAGCTCAGTGTAACACAGGGTAAGTAGCAAGGATCCATGGTGCTTATTTCATGCACTTACCTTCTGTGGTTTGACTAAAAGTGCAGCAATCTCTGAAGTAACCACATTAACTATAGTGGTAACATCATCTTTGAAGCGATCGGAGAACCGGCTTCTTCGTGGGTTGTCTTGCTTCTCTATGTTGTGAACATACTGAGCCATACTCTTTATCTGCAAAGCAGAAAAAAAAAATTTTAAAAATGTCCAAACTGGAGGTAAAACTACTGCTTTAAATTAGTCCAGGGGAGTTAGTAGGGAAGTAAGATTCCCTACTTGTTTTTCCCTGAATGTAATTACTCATCTTCTCAGAGCTGCTGTGATAAATCCTGCATGTGCTGGCAATGACAACAGAGAGCCTGAGACTCAAATACAGACAGACACTGATTGCTGTTCGTGTTCACGCAGTTGGCTACTCTCAGCACCTGAAATCAGAATGACCCTCCCCAGTCCCTTGCATCTGTACTTCTGAAATGCTGCTGTTTGCAACTTTTGCCCTTCACGGTGACAGACAGGGAGTGACACTTCTGGAATTAATTCTTGACCTGCTCTTGGGTTGCTTATATGCTGCCAGTGGAAATCAGTATGGTTTTTCCACTGACATCCATCATCTCAGGGCTCTGTGAAACTGTGAGTTTGGGGAGCCTTGTCACTGCTCCCATGTTGTTAACAGAATGGAAAAGACAGGAACAGGTATTCACAGAAAAGAAAGGACTCAGTTTGATGTCTGTCTTTCAGCCTTCTGCAAGCCGTGGACCGCTGCGCATGTAGTTCATGCAGGACTTTGCCATCACAGGCTGTCAGTGGGAAATGGGGGTGAATATGGAGAATTCTTTAGTTGTACTTCCATTATTTGGGACCTCTCCTTTTCACATTGGGGCTGAATAACCGTAGAGGTCACCACCCAACTAAATCTGTACGTGGAATACCTGCTACATTTCACCGCTACAAAATACCACTATCAAATCTTACCAGGAGCTCAAAGAAGAACCAGGCATACTTGAAGACAGATTCTCTCACCATACCCGTGCTGACCACCATCTGCAGTGCTAGCTCCTCATGGAAATGCTAGATAATAAACACAGAGTGTTGCAAAATGGCTTTTGAATCAACTCATCTTCCAGTTTCAACATCCCCCCTCTTCCCTGTGGGAAACTCCCCCATACTGGAAAGTCAGCAGCTGGATGGGGATGTGTGGACATCCCTATAGGATGAGAATGCATATTTGACCAAAATGACATATAAGGAATGTTGGTGGCGAACAGAATTTGGGACCCATTTTTCTGTGGATCCAGAACCCCGGATAGCTAAACTGGGAAATGCCTTTGGTCTATCCTCAAGCCATTGGCTGTGTGCATGACAGGGAGCAGTCACGTTGCCCACTACCCGCTAAGCATTTCCATTTAGCACATCCATGTTTTTTGAGAGAAGGTAGAAGTAAGATTGTCTCTGTGGTGGGAGAGGACACAGCAATAATCACAGCAGAGCTTGTATGGAGGTTTGTAGTTGGAGACAATACTCTTTGCAGTGAGATCTGACCATAAGACACCCAATCGCAATGATCTAAACTTTTAGAAAACTCAAATCTGGACAAAAAATTTATTGCAATGTCTATTTTCTATTCCTGACACAAACAATAAAGCTAATGAGATTCCTAAGCACATTTACACTGAATAGGAAATATTAACCCATCCAACACTCAGATTGCACCTAAACCTCTATGCTTTTTGGCAGAAATCAAACCAATGAACAGGAGTAAGAAAGGAGAGTTTCTTAACCGTAACTCAGATTCTGAACTGCTCATTGCAGGGTTTCTCCCCTGCTTCTTCATCCAAAGCCACTGCTGCTGATCAATGCCAAACACAAGATACCGCTCTGGAAAAGTTATCTATGTGATATGCTATCTTCTATGTTGTTAAAAAGCTATTTCGGAATACATACTCAAGATAGGAAGGGATTTCTTCGTTCTAAAAGCTACAAAAAGGGGAAAAGAAAAACATTCTTTACAGAAGAAAGAGATGGCAAACATTTCTCAATGCAGTTTACTGTAACGTGTAAAGGCAGGTATCCAAGGTTAAACGGGAGTGGAAAAAGACAGAGGCCCTAATACCTTGAGAAAGAGAGCAAAGGGAGGATCCAGGCAGGCTGCTACTTGTCTAAATCTGTCCTGAAAAAGAATCTAAAGGCTCTGGAGCAGAAGCAGAAAAGTTTCGATAATATTTACCCACTGATTCAATATTCCATCACAAACTCCTTGTTTGATAAAACTGGTTGTTATTTTGTTCTCTCTCTCCCCTCTCCTCATTTAGAAGCACTAATTACCAGCACTGCCTCAGGAGGCTCCACGCTCTTTTAATGTGCACCCTCACGCTTAGTGGTAGGCTACCTTTTTATTGGAGGGTCTTGGGCTTGCACAAATGCTTGGCATGTCATTTGTTCCTTCAACATAGAAAGACATCCGACTGGAGCTGTGATCCATAGGCTGGAGGGCATAGCCAGAAGAAATACATAATAGTAGGTTAATACATAACTTAAGCTAATTAACAGAGAAGAAATCAGCAGCGGTGTTTTTTTTGGAAGGTATGCACAGATGTTCACCTAAACAGATCTTCTCTTTCCTTCTCCGCATCCCCCTTCCCAGTGGAGGCCAAAGACCACCTCAATGGAGCAGCCGCAGGAGAGTGCAAATGCCAACACTGCCATCACCTGCCCAATTTCAGCACTGCAGTTGTATTTTGGAAGCGCTACAATTCACCCTTTCAAGGGTAACTGTTATTTAAGTTTATCCGGTGGCTCTATATACGAAATTAACTAGCACCTGGGAGTCTTCCTTCCATTAAAAGTTATGCCAATTTAAAAGGCAGTGAAATGGCAGTAGCCAATTGTAAATTGCTACATTTATCAATGTGATGAAGCTGTAATATCAAACACTTGAATTTTGTATTAATTTGGGAAAAAACATGCCTTGAGCTCTGTTTTCTTAGGACACAGTACATTACAGTAAACATCATGAAGCTGTTAAGTTCAAATCTACATTATTAAAAATTGCTATGGATGAACACATATGCCCATATAAACAAACCAAATAGATTGGCAAAGCCTGTGCATCTTACTAGTTCTGGTTTAATTTGCTGAAGACAAGCACCCGTTCACTTTAACTGGAGAGGCACGTGATCATTCAGTGGAGAAAAGACTTCAAAATGTTTCTGAAAATAACCTGCTTGAGAAGCAGTATTTTACATATGTAACTCTCAAACAAAAGGGAGGGGGGATACGGCTCAGAGCTCAGCAGACATGTTGCTGCGAAGCACTGCCAGGGCTGCAGCTAGGAGCAGGCTCCTTGCACAGGGCAAAAATCCTGCTTTTGTAAGAGGCACGGCTTCCCAGCTCCTGCAGAACGGAAACCCTAGATTTTGGTTTCCACAGACAGCTGAGCACAGCCATCCTCATAAAGCTCTGAGATGAGCCTGGGATGCTATGTACCAGCAAGCACCAGGTGCCAATAAGGGAAGCAAAATCCTGCATCTTGGCTGTCATCATCCTTTCTATCCTGCAAGCTGTTGGTGGCATATGTAGTTGTGGATGAGGAAGACAGAAGAAGTTTGTGTTTCACTCTGTGATTGAACTAAGTATTTGGAAAGACCCAGATATAAAATATGCACATGGCATCTGCACTATAGCTGATATAAAATCATGGGGCTGCTGTCATATGAATTGCCTACTTTTTTTTCTAACAGGAAATTATTTAGCACTAAACAGGCTCTGACGTTTAAAAAAAAAAAAAAAAAAAGAAAGTGAATCTGTTCCCAGTGTAATCAATAGTAGTCTTTTCTCACACTGACTCTGCAACCTTAAGCAGTCCATGTCACCAGACGTGAACAGAAACTAAATGTCAGGAAGAACAGCAGAGTGAGGCGTGTCAAAAAAGCAAATCCCTTTGTGGAGTATCTAAGCCTCAAACAAGGGACAGAGTTTTTACCTCTTGCTCTCTTCACTGATAAGAGACATCAGAATTTAGCAATGCAATTTAACATGTGCCTATGCCCAATCAGATAAACAGCAAATGCTTCTGGTGATACATACAGTGCATTTACAAGAAGCAAATGCAACCCTCAAAGAACAAAACTAGATTACTAGATTTTGGCCCATATAATTCTCCAGATATTTGACTTCGTTCTCTTACCTTGGATGACATGATGTTTTTGACCTCCTCATCAGTAGCAGTTTGTGTAACAGCGATGTCAGGATTGCTGCAGCTTATCACTCGGCTCTGCAGGAGTTTACTCCCAACAGACACTGCGGAAGTGCGTCCAAATGTGTAATAGCGAGATTCTGTCAAAATGGCACTGCTGCCTGCACCTGCCCATAGGGAGATGTTTGAACTAAGACTAAAGGACATACGTATGAGACAAACATGAGATTCAAGCCAGCTTTGCTCAGTGCTGTTATAGCATCAGCATTTTGAATAGCATAAAGCTCCTGAAAATCTCACCACCAACTGCTTCGTTAACAAATTACATAGGCATTGAATGATAAGGTGCAGATGTTTTCCAAGTCAACAGCTCACAGGGTGATTGCACAAGCAGTCAAGGGCTACCTGAGCAACAGCACTATTTCAATAGCTTTTTCTTCTTCCCATCAGCTTTTATTAATTTGCTGTAGATTAAGACAAGATTCAGAGGCCTAAACAAAAAATACCACCTTCAACACATATCATTTA